TGATAGAATACAGAGGCTTGTCAGGGATTGCAGGAGGCTAAGGCCTCAACCATGGGCAAGAACTGGCCTTAAAATTTYATTGTGAAAAAACTGGCCTTAAAATTTTTACATATGAGTTAAATTATCTCAGGGTCTGAGGAAGTTTGACCATTGCTTTCACAAGTATGTGTATGTTTCTTTAGAAGTAGACTAAACGAAGAAGGTTGTAGATGATGCTGTGTCTTCCTCCAGCCATACACTAAAGCGCCTTATAAAAAGGGGCTACTAATTCTAGGGCCACACTGAGGTCCATGACAGCTCTGATTTCAAACATGCTGTTGATTCTCCCTGAAATTGCATTCACATTTGCAATGGCTTGTGCTTTTATTTGTGGTGCAAAAAACATACCTGCTTTCTATTATAGCACTGTCCTAGAATTTTCTTTGAATACAAATAGAGCTCTTCATCTTCTCTCATTCTCTCTCTCTCTTTTTTTTTTTTTTTTGCTACTTTTCACATTGCTTCTTGAGAACTTCTCTCTCTCTCTCTCTCTCTCTCTTTTTCCACTTTGCCAGGGGGTCAGCCCTCAGAATCAAATAAAAAGTGAAGCTTCCTGCAGGGCTCTGGGATTCAGAGGCATAAGAATTCTTTTATTTTCAGCTAAGGGTCTCATACCACAATTGTAAGAAGCTTTAAATGTAAGAATTCAAATTTCTCCTGAGAAATTTTCATTTATGGTGGAAGGAATGTCAGGAGGTATCAAATAGTTGTCACTAAGAATAGCATATTTTCTAGCTCTAAAAATTCTTTTCAAAGCAAATATGTACATTTGATACCTGCAAGTTTTGAATGTGCAAATATTGACTCAACAGATGGATGAGCCCAGCTTGAACATGCTGTTTTTTTTTTTTTTCCTCAAGGGTGGGTCTATTATTACTCTGACTAAGGGTTGTGTATTTTTTTCCTCCCCAGCTGGTGAATTTTCTAGAATGGAAGGGTTTCCTGCTCTTGTCTCCAGAATACATAATATTTGTATTAACAAATTTTTATCACTCAGGACCCCCTTTTGCAAGTTCATTTTATGGCTTAAGCTCAATACTTGGTCTTACCTTTGTGATTTCTTTAGTGACAAGGACTTCTTAAGTTCTCTATTGATGACTTAAACTAGGTCAATTTGATGGGAATCTCCAAGTTGTTTTATTTATTTGCTTTTCAGTATTTTTTCATTTTAGAGCTGGTGACAAAACTGCCCTTGTATCAGCAAAGAACCTTGAATGATGGAATTTCAAAATGCTTTCAGAGTTATTTCTGGCGATAAACAAATAAGGAGAAAATGTCCRTTGAATCCTAAACTGTAAAACTAGTAGACCTACATGAAGTCACGAACTCTAATGCAGTAAACAGTTGTTCTTTAGTAGGATGTATGAAACAAGGTTCTCATGGTTAAATCATTTACATCAATTGTTATTATCGGGAGTGCTATGACAGAAAAACACAAAGTTGCTACCTTTAAGGCAAAGAGCAGACAAATCAGTATTACAGCATAATTTTCGACAAAGACCATAAAATCATCTTTAAAAATATTAATTACATTCTGAGGCATTTTTAAATGCATGATTTTAATCTATGTTGTATTCATGTTATTGGTACCAGTTATGTAAACAGGCTATCCGTTTCTTGAAACACASAAGAAACTCCCTCATCTCTGAAAGAGCTTGGCCGCAAGGCCCCACAGGTTTTGAGTGATGTYTCTGTGATTCCCTAAATGCTGCATCCCTGCCAGGGGAAGCTACTGTTGAGTGAGTTTTAGCAGAGGTGTTGATTTCCTTGTACATCTGGGTCATAGGGACTGGCACTGCACACATTTCCTGGTTTATGCTTCTAAAACATATTTTTGTCTTGAAGATCTTGGGTCCAAACAGGTAATAGCAATCTATTTGAATTAGTTATGTTTTTAATCAAATTTTAAAAATATTATGTGTGCAAATACAGGATTACAAGAAACCTGTACCTGCCCTCCATGGTAAGCAACACTGTGGTATTAGCCTCCTTTTACAGATGTACACCTGGAGACCAGAAGAGACTAAGGGATGTTGCTCAAGGTCAAACTTCAGTTTTTACATTTCTTATTTCTTCTGATGGTTAGCTATGATTGTCAWGGGAAGGTTTCTCAGAGCTTGGAATTCCTGGCAGTGATTCTTAAAATCAATTCCTGTAATATTATTTTTGGAATGAACTGGGGCTGTGGAAATTTTGGAGGTTAAAGAGAGGAACTGCAGTTTATTGAAATGATGTCTTACCTATGTGACAGCCTCATGTTGCCCCCTTATGGAATGTCTGGTATTTACAGATTTTTTTTTTTTTTTTTTTTTTTTTTTTTTGCTGAACTAGGCTTTCATTAAACCAAGACAAATAAAACAAAATTTATCACTTTAGCTTTTCACAGGAAAACATGTTATTTTACCACTTTTATATATTATTGAAATTTAGGCAAACTGAAGGAAAATTGATTATAAACAGAAAATTTGGGAGGTGGGGAGGGTGGTGCTGGGTGCAGTGGTGCATTCCTGTTATCCCAGCAACTAGAGAGACTGAGGCAGGAGGATCACAAGTTTGAAACCAGCCTCAACAGTGTAATGAGACACTTGGCAACTTAGTGAGACTCTGTCTTAAAAAAATAAAAAGGACTGGGGTAGTGATAAAGCACCCCTGAGTTCCTTCTCAGTATCAAAAACAATAAAAGAAAAAAAAAGAAAACTTTTCTATGCATATTTATTTCTACACTTCATAGCTTCCTTCACTCACATCTACAGCACTGACAGTTCTGCACAGTTAAAGTGAAATGTATCTAACAAAGTGGGATGATGGTCTCAATATTTTACTAAATTTGAGGTAGAAGGCAGTGGTTTGTTTTAATTTTCATGTGCGAAATGTTTAAAAATTTGCTTAAGTGTTTTTTTTTAAAGTGGGTTTGAATTTCAGCTCTGCTACTTGGTGGCTGCATTACCTCAGGTAAAACTCCTAATTCTCTGAGTCTCGTCTCAGTATCTTCCTTTGTAAAATGGGGAGCAGAGTGTCATTTGTGGAGCGTTTGAACCAATTGCTGGTATAGAGGATGTCTGCAAAATAAAAGTAGTGATAGTAACCAGTGGATCTGAACTCCTCAGTGTTTAAGTGAGGAGRTGGTACTAATGAGCTCAGAGGCCCTCTCACGTCCTTCCATCTCTCCCATCAAAGCAGGACACAGGAAGGAACATGCATCATGGACAGTGTTTTCATTGCCTCTGTAGTGGAGTTCCTTCCCACAGCACCTGCTAGGAGCAAGTACTTTGCTAACTGGTGTTGCTGGTTTGGGCCACAGTTTCTGAGTACTCTGGGGGAGATAAATGCAAGGGGAGGTGGGCAGCAGGAGTTCTTGTTRGCAGACCCTTTCCAGCGGTGTGAAACTGGTCTGCCCTTAGGTACAGTAAGGACCACATGTCCCAGAGGTGCTCACACTCTGAAGACAGACTCAACAGGGGAATAGGAGCTGGTGGTATGCAGTGAAAGCAATTGCAGGAAGATATGGAGGTGGGACACTAACCAGTGGTTAAGAATGGCCTGGGAATTCTGTCTATTTCACAGGCTCAACTTCACTCTCACCACATTCTTGGATGAACAAGGCAGGACATTAGTTAAAGTGGTTAAAACAGATTTTATTCATAACTACTAATAGTAAAGAGCTGAGCTTTCCAATTTGTGCAAAAATGACTGGGTGTTTTAATCTTATATTTTTTCCAACAAGTTCTTATGGTTTATGTCTAAGAGTTACCTACGAAATCTTGCAATATGTTTACATTGTCTATGAAGTATTTTATAGCCCTATTGAGGTATAACTGATATATAAAATTTCACACATATAGTGTGTATACTTCTTTAATGAGTTTGAATATATGATACATCCATGGTACCATCACCACATTAAATACATCCATCTCCTCAAAGGGAGAGAGTGGGGAAGGGCRGAGAGAAGGAGAAAGAGTGAGAGCGAGAGCAAGAGCGAGAGAGAGGGAGAGAGAGAGATATTAGAAATGGGGCTCAAATGAAAATTTGTGGAGGGTTGGTCAATGCAAAGGTAACTAGGCCAGCGGTGTCTACTAGCTGGCCATTATTAAAGTTAGGCTTCTATCCTGATGATTGCATTTCAAAGAATGTCTTTTAGGTGTTTGAAAAAGAAAGATCCTCCTGAGTTGTGGAAGAGACAAATACATCAAAAGATTCACAACAGTAAGCCATTTTTGATAAAAGAATAAGGACTCATAATGGTAAGCCATTTTTAGTAAAAGCGCTAAGAAAAGGAGGTCAGAAAGCACAGAAAATTCTCCTGGTGGTGTTGAGCTTTCTTGCCAGGCATTTTAGTGGGGGCTGGAGGTATCATAGAAATGCAGGCTTACATTTCWAGGAGCCAAACCAGAGTTTGGTTCTCTAGGAGTGGAGAGTTGTCTAGTTTTTACCATGAGGCCCACTCTGACAATATAACCCTCACAGGTCTCCATCTGTCAGCTTTGTCGGCATTTAAAAATTGTAGAAAGTGAATAGTTTCATTTACTTGTTTCACACCTATTCATTGGGAGCCATTTATGGGCACAGTTCAAGATTCAGGGAAACCTAGGGCTGTTTGTATTATTCACTAGTTGTTTTGTCTTAGCTTAATTCAATAGTTAACTTCTTTGAGATGAGACATTTATTCTTTTGTCTTCCATACAGTATGTAATTTAGCACAACCCAATAAATACTCAGCTGAATTTTCAAAATATACTTGAACAATAAAAATAAGAAAGGTAAAGAAAAATACTTTGGAATACAATTTGAGCAATTTGGGCATTGAGTGGAGATGAAAAGGAAAATGTCATTTTATCTTTTATTATGTGTTCTGGAAAATTTGATTTTAAAAAATCACTTATTAAAAATGAATAAAAATAAATAAAAAATGAATAAAAATGAATTAAAAATAGTGTTTGAGGACACTATCATTTTTTTAGGTTCAGAGAGGTAAATTCAAACAACGATCTTCTCCTGGAACTAATTGTGGAGGATAATTAAGTTGAAGTGGACAGTGTTGTTACTTCCAAAGCTCAATCAGAAGGTATGTACTTCTGTCACAAAAGAGGTGTCTCTGAAGAAGGGTCTGAGGAGTTCCTGGAGAGAAGRGGGACCAGCGGGATTCTTGTTTTACATGACAGAAAACACTTTCAAAGCATGTGCCAGTCAGAGGCCTAGAYTGAGTTTTATTTGGGAAAGTAGACACTCATTCAAGGGAAAATGGGGGGGCACTCTCAAGAGAGATGTCTTTGAGGGTAAAGCAAGAAATACACATTCAAGAGAGAATATAGACCAGCTCCAGAAAGAGAGATGAAGTTTTGGGGTTCCAGGCTCTATTTTAAAGAAATAGAGTGCCGGTATGGAAAGGCAAGTAGGAATGATGTCAGTCCAGTGATCTCAAGACAGTTTCTGGTGTACTGATCATTCTCAGGATACTCCGACTGATGGGGTTTCCATTGTCTGATCAGTAGGTAGTACGAGAAAGGCCCCTAAATTATAGGTTTCTCAAGATATCTYTACTTAATCTATCTATTTGAGGATTAATTGACAGTGTACAGGTACATTTACAGATTTCCCAAGAATATGGGAGTAACAGGCCTGCATGGGAGACCGGGTAGGGAGTAAGAGCCTGGAAAATTATGCAGAACTTCCGAATTAAAATCTTTTCCCCTTGTTTTTCCTTTATGTTTTCTTTCTGTTTCTTATTTCTTCTATCATGCCTTACTTCCTGGTCTGAAACTCAAGTCCTTTGAATTCAGAGGAGCAAGTCAAGAGAGGTCTCCAAAGTGGGAAGTCTGGACTGGAGCCCCACCCCAGTGCAGAAGATGAGGTTTGAGGACAAATCTTTGAAGGTGCTTTCACTCAAGTCATCCCAGCTCTCTGCCCTTCAGGGACTGAGAATTTGATACCAGAAGACATATTTTACCGGCTTTTATTTAATTTCTTTGTTCCCAGAAGGAAGTAACTATAATTCACCCTATGGGCCATGTTAATATCTCCTTATAATTTTGAAGTCTTCTAAAAATATTTGTTGTTTGCTTCTTAAAGCACTAGAAAGGAGTGAATCTCGGATGCAACTGGAGAGGTGACATTAAAACTTTTTTTCTGTGTCTGATTTAACATAACTGAAAATAGTAAAAATTTCTGCTAGTTTAACCTGTCCCCAAAGCCTAAGAATAGGTACAAAGAATTTTATTCCTGGATGCCAGGAATATTCTGAGATCCTGCCAGCTCTGCGGCAAATGGAGGGGGTGGTTCTTGGATGACAGGCTCTTCTGGAGGGAGGCCAGGCTGCAGCTGGCTGAGTTGTAATGTTTTCATCTGAGGTGTTGGCATGAAGACTTCCACCACCGTTCCCCACTGCTATTTTTCTAAAGGAAGGCCAAGGTTGGATAAGGGTCAAAGCTGGCACAGAACTGATGTTAGAAGCACAGGGATGCTTTACAAAGATGCATGCATTTTATTTAGCAGTCTTTCCCCCTAAAATATTCCTATGATGTCTTCTATTTCAGTGGTTCAACATCCATCTATTCCATCCCGCCCCCCACACTCCCAAAGTAATTTTAGCAATATCAGGAGGCATTTTTGATTGTCCTAATTAAGGGAGGGAATGCTATTGGAATCAAGTGGGYARGGGCGAAGGATGCTGCCAAGYATCTTACAATGCACAGGGCAGCCCCTCACAGCAAAGAATTATCCAGCCCCAAATGTCAACAGTTCCAAAGTTGGGAAGCCCCATTTTTGTATTCGAAGAGAAGAAAACCAGTTCCTTGCTCTGTGCACCAATGGACATCTTSCTATTCGAAGGGTGGTTCCCAGACTCCAGCATCACTTGGTAGTTTGTGAAAAGTAGACTTTCAGGCCCCACTCCAGAGACATGGGGATCAGAATCTGCATTTTAACGAGGTCTCCAGATGATTCATACGCATGTTCAATTCTGAGAAATACCAATACCATTCTGTGAGAATTATGCAAGGCAAGGCAGTGAGACTTCCAGATGACTACATCAATAGGTACAGTCCTAGCCAGATTTGATGTGTTTAAATTCACAAAAACTCACTTGTTCTCTATTTGGTCCCACATTTTCATTGAAGTTTCTTCCACTTTTTTTGTTACCTTTCCCTCTCTCCCTCCCTCCCTCTCTTTCTGCCTGCCTGGCTTCCTTTCTTCCTCTCCCAGTTCCTCTACTACAACAAATCTGTATCCATTTACCTTCATCCCATATGTGCATAGCTTTTTTCTAGGTTTTTAATTTAGAGTCCCCTCATGATACACCGCCCCAAGAGGCAACACTTACCTCTTTAATTAAAGGAAATTGCCCTAGAGGGAAAAGTGGGTAGAATCTGGAAGGAAAGCCATACTTTCTGAAACCTGATAACAATTAAATTCAACCTTCCTGCACTGAGCTTTCAGTGGTAAGATATTAAAAAGGAAGGCAATAAAACTCATCCAATACTAATTTAATCAGAAGCCTATGCAATCAGTCTCTTTGATATACCTTTTGTCAACACAGCTTTGGGTTTTGAATAGGCAGTCTAAAATCCTGGAAATTTACCATATTGACATCAGCAAATTTTCTGCTGAACTTAGGTATAATAATAAAACTGATTAAAAATAAAATGTAGGGCTGGGGATGTGGCTCAATCGGTAGCACGCTCGCCTGGCATGCGTGCGGCCCGGGTTCGATCCTCAGCACCACGTACCAACAAAAGATGTTGTGTCCACCAAGAACTAAAAAATAAATATTAAAAATTCTCTCTCTCTCTCTCTCTCTCTCTCTCTCTCTCTCTCTCTTTCTCCTCTCTCACTCTCTCTAAAAAAAAATAAAATAAAATGTAGGCTGCACACCATGTCAATGTATTGTAAATTTTTGAAGTCCTTTAGATATTTTATTTAGCCATCTTCTCTCCTTTTTAAAGCTTTTGCTTGTATTGGGTTCACCATCTGTTAGCTCCATGTTTTTTTTTTCTACAGAAAATATGAGCTAAAAATTTCAAGTATTCAAACAAACTTTAATTCAACTTGATAAACATTTACCAAACATTGCCCATGAAATGCTGGAATAAGAATTTTAGAAGATAAAAAAGATCCAGATATAATTTTGCCTTCCTTTGTGGTCTGGGATATATGAGTCTACGTGTGTGTGTGTTTCCACGCATGTGTGCATTTAAATATGGTAGGATATATGAAAATTTGCAAAAGTTTGTTCATGGTAAGTATATAAAATAGGTATCAAAAAGAGCTATAGGAAATTATAGAGAAATATTCATTTCTTTGTTGTAGAAAATTACATATAAGATGGTGCAAGGAAGAAAAAAAGAGAGAGAGAGAGAGAAAAGTGTCATAGAGTGGGTAGAGAGAGGTGATGGGAGGGGAAGGGAGGGGAGGAGGGAATAGGAAGGGTAGCAGAATACAATAGACACTAATATGGCTGTATGTATAAACGTGGCTRTAAAACCAATGTGATACTGCAATCTGTACACATGGAAAAAAAGAATTCATATCCCAYTTGAATCAAATGTATGATATGTCAAGATCATTGTAATGTTTTGAGCAACTAATTAAAAAAAAAAAAGATATTATAGTATGAAGGCTAGGTTTGTGGCTCAGTGGTAGAGCACTTGCCAGCACATGTAAGGCACTGAGTTTGATCCTCAGCACCATATAAAAATAAATAAATAAAACAAAGTTATTTTGTTCATCTACAAAAAAAAAGAAAAGAAAAGAAGATTTTGAATTAAAAAGAAAATGATTGGGAAGTTTCTAGGTGTGAAAAGCCATGGTTTTCTCAGTGCTAGTTTACATCTTGGTTAACACATTCATTGAGTCAGCTCATCTGCAACACTAGTACCATGCCCATGATACTGGGTCATTGTATATTCCATGTATATTAAGCTATGAGGAGACATATGAGGACACCTGTGTATTAAACTATGAGAAGAGACACAGGATGGGYGACACTCCTGACTATAACAGAAGCCAGTGGCTAAATGAGAAATTCAAGCTGGGCTTGGACTTTCCCAATCTGCCCTACTTAATTGACAAGGCTTACTAAATCACCCAGAGCAACGCTACCCTGGGCTGCATTACCTGCAAGCACAGCCTATATGGGGAAACTGAAGAGCAGAACCAGGTTATGTGCATCTCTAATCAGCTGTCCAGAGTCTGCTGTAGACTTTGAGAAACTGAGGCCAGAGTGCTTGGAGGGCCTCCCAGAGAAGATGAAAGGAAGGCCATAAAACTCATCCCATACTAATTTAACAGTCCCTGGGGAAGTGGCCATGGTTTGTTGGTGACAGGATCACCTGTATTTTCTCACTTATGATATCCTTGATGTGCACCGTATATTTTACCCCAAGTGCCTGGATGAGTTTTGAACATTTTGGACATAAGTTCCCTCTTTGAGAGCTTGAAGAGTATCTCTGCCTATATGAAGTCCAGCTGCTTCCTCCCAAGACCTGTATACTCAAAGGTGGCCACTTGGGGCAACAAGTAAGGCCTTGAAAAGACAGGATCAGGAGTGAGGAGCCTGTTCTCTTCCTGCTGCCCAAGGTCCTGGGGAGTGGCCAGACCTCGTGAAGCTCTTCACTCTTTCTCCTTCTTTCCAGTTCTGTATCATATCCAAGGCCTTATTGCCCTCCTTTCTCCCACTAATCCTGAGAAAGGAATTTGGAGATACAGAAAGAGTGACTGAGTCTCAAAAGAGAAGCCCTAAAATACCCATGAGCCTTTGAAATCCAAAATGAGTACTCCTGAGCAACTCAGCCCATGTCCTTTGCCYATTCCAATGACCCAGCCTCTTGTCTGCAGATAATCACATGAGGGAAATGCACAATTGCTAGAAAAATTGATATGAAATTGTGTAACTCTGACCTGGCTCCATATCTAGTCCAGCCCCTAGCTATGATTCCTCTATAAATATTCATACCGTATACCAAGGGGCTGCTGTCTGTCCCTCTGGAGATGACCTGTGTCCTCCCTTGAATATGTACTCCTTGCTTTACTCCAAAAGCTTCTCATGCTCAAGATGGTTGACATTTTCCATTTAATGTGTATTTCTTACTTTACTCCCACAGATGTTTCTCTTGAGATATCCTGCATTCCCCCATGAATGTGTATCTGCTTTCCTAAATAAATATGTTTGTGTCTCTGAAAAAAATTACACCAGGTTTAAGGGATGTTTATATAAGAGGTTTCAGTAGGCCTGAGAATCTGAGAAAATTACCTCTTCTGTGCTTGTTTCCCCAGAATTTCTTTTGTACCAACAGCTTTTTAAACCCATCTGATCTTTCCATAATAACACTTGCTTTTTTCCCCTTTGAAACTATAGTGCTGCCAAAGCAGAGATTTATTCTTAGTGTGGATCTAAGTCATACATGGAAGACAATGAAACTGTTATGCACGTGTTGAAAAGAACCTGCTAAAAACAAGATGTAATGGGTATTTTATCAATTTAGTTGGATAAATTTTATCTTGCTTAGAAAAGACTTTTTTAAATAATGCTTTTAAAAGTCATTATGCAAATTTCTTCACCTGGAATCTACTTGAGGGTTTAAKAATAAGACTTTAGAAATAAGCTCCAACTTTCCCCTGAGATCTAATCAATATGCAAAAAACATACACTATTTTGAAATGACAAATAATGGGGAAGTTATTCTTTTTGCTCATTCTCTGTGACCTTGCAAATGACTATTTGTGCCAAAAATTACATAAGTATTTGGATGACTTCCTAAAGAAATTAAAATGAAATTGAGTCATACTAAAGCCTTATTCAATTAGGCAATTGTACTTACAGATTCATTTTAAAAAGAAGCTAGATAAAACTGGTTTTATGTGATAAGTTTTATAGGGCAGGGCTCATCTTTTGAAACTGGAGGGTGTATCCCTCCTATATGATGTTAAAGATTATTCAAGTAATTAAGGATGGGTGCTAACTATYCATAAAACAATTCTACTTTATTAATGGTGCTTGCCTTGGATTTTCCAAACATACTTTTATTTGCCCCMAATTCCATGATTCATTGGCTTTCTGAATTGAATGCTCTGCACACTTCCTCACCCATAGCTTTTCTACAGCCT